GCTTAGATCTGAGCGCACATTATTACTGAATGGCGCTCAGATCACATACATATAGTTCAATTGCCATGGAGCCAAAGTCTTTCACATAGTCTTTAGTTATACGAATGGGCTCCATGGCATAGCTATCTGGGGTAACCCTGCTCACATAGGGAAAGTACCGAAAGACCCGGCTTTCGAGTCTTTACAGGGGAAAATCAAGCATTTCAACATGGGGCCATAGTCACAGGGCAGGAGGCTGGCAATCAGTCTTCTCCAATGCCCAGTGGCGAGGCTGGTTCTGCCACATACTGCCCCCCTCACACACTACAACAGTCACACAGACAGACTGCCCCCTCACACACAAACACACAGACTGTCCCCTCACACACACTGCCCCCTCACAAACACTGAGCCCCTCACATACACACTGCACCCTTCACACACTGCACCCGTCATACACACTGCCCTCCTCACAAACACTGCAACTCACACACACACACACACACACAAGTTCATATATAAAAAAACTCCTTTCTATACAAAAATTAAAAAATATTGCAATTGCGCTATAAAATTAGTTACTGCGTGACTGCAGTAAGGAAATTTTGACATCAACAAAGATACAAAAGTGGGTGGTAGGTATTAAAAGGTTGACTACCCCTGTCCTAGAGCAATAATAACATAGTGCAGTATATCTGATACACTAACCATTGATTATAAATGTGTCAGATATAATACACCATCTTATTGTTTCTCTTTATATTTTAACCCCAGGCTGTCCATCTTGCATTTCAGATATTATATTACCAGTGTAGTAATGTGGGTAACAGTTCTAGTTCTCAAAAATGTTGAATGAGTTTGCTCACAAAAGCCAGATGTGAAGAGCAGTGGCTTCTCCTATAACTAGCTGTCAAGGAGTTGTGGGTGTTGTAGTCCAACAGCCTTTCAGCTAGTAGGGATGTGTGTGTGCCATGGCTGCGCACAAGATGCTCGGCAATCAAATTAGTTTCGTGTGCCCACTTTTTTACATTTTTTTTTTTTTTACCAGAAATTGGAATTTATTGGGAAGCTATGGCATAAAAATACCTAATTTTATACGTATTATACCAAAAATGCATTAAAACAAAAATCATTTTTTTAAAAAAAGAAAAACTTAAAACTAGTTTGTTTTCCTGGCACAATAGTGGTCGTTTAATAATTACAACATAGGTAATATCCGTAACTCACAGTAAAATAATTTAACTACTTGGCTTTGCAGTCATTGTCTAGTACCGGCTAATAATTTGTTATTTTCTCTTTCCTTGTGTCTTTCTAACACATCATCAATTTTTTGATTTTCTGCAGGAGGATCTGATTCAGACAATAGGACAGAGTGCAGCACTAGGTGCTGCTGGAGTTATCCTCTGGGGAAACGGAGACTACAGTGTGAGCAAGGTGAACAGGCTGTTAATTCTTTTTAGTTTGTGGGTTAAACTATTTGAGTCACAGGACCTTGAAATGTTCTCAGTACCTTTGTCAACAGATATCTGCCAATATCAACAGTTTATCCAACAAGTTCCTTCCACTGCCACGTTGTACCAAACATTACTAGCATCAGAAATAAAACTGTGTTCCATTATGACCCACTGGGTTCTTGTATTACACCTGTGAGTTCATTTTTCAGCTGAGGGTAAAAATGAACATATTTGTGTCCATTGCATTCATTATGAATAATGAAAGAAAGTTACCTTACTTCCTGAATGTTAAGCAAAATTCAGTACAATTTATTTTTTCTACATTCATCCATTGAGGATTCATTCTCCTCACCCAATGTGTGGTAGATTGAGAGGACTGAGGTCTTTCAGCCAATATGTGGTCGACGTAGACTTGAACAGAAATAACAGGAAAATTCCTGCTTATTAGAGACAACAGGGCCAGATTTATCAGTAAGAAAATCTATAGGGACACTATAGCCACCAAAACAACTTTAGTTCAATTAAGCAATTGTAATGTGTAGATTATGTCCCAGCTGTCTCACTGCTCAATCATCTGCCATTTAGGAGTTATATCTCTTTGTTTATGCAGCCCTAGTCACACCTCCCTCTATGTGACTTACACAGCCTTACTAAACACTTCATGTGAAGAGTCATCTAATGTTTATACTTCCTTTATTGCAAATTCTGTTCAATTTAGAATTTTTTAAATCTCCTGCTCTGTTAGTAGCCTGCTAGACCTTGCATGTTCCTTCTGTATGTAATTAAAGTTCAGTTTATAGAGCAGGAGATAAAAACGTTTAAAGTAAGTTACATCTGATTGAAAATAAAACCATTTTGTTTTCATGCAGATTGTGTCAGTCACAGCCAGGGGAGGTGTGCTAGGGCTGCATAAAAAGAAACAAAAGTGGTTTAACTCCTAAATGACAGAGCATTGAGCAGTGAGACTGCAGGGGCATACATTATAAAACTGCTTCATTAAGCTAAAGTTGATTTGGTAACTATAGTGTCCCTTTAAATATTTTCCTATACCATTTCTCTTTGCTACTTGGTAGCAAGTTTTCTAAAATAAACACCATTGAGTTAGGGAGAAAGTAACATCTATTTCCAGGTTATACTTTTGAATCTCAATATACCCTTCCAAGTAAAACATGATTATATTATTATTATATTTTCAGGAGTCCTGTATGGCTGTGAAATCCTACATTGATGAAACTCTGGGGAGGTACGTGGTGAATGTGACAACGGGAGCCCACCTGTGCAGTAATGCTTTGTGTTCGGGAAATGGACGCTGTTTTCGTAAAGATAGTTCAAGTCAGGTATATCTTCACTTACATCCTGAGAGCTTCCGTATCAAGAAGAACCCTCACGGCTCAGGATTCCTTGTGCATGGACAGGACAATAAAGATGATGTAATGTACATGGCAATTCATTTCCAATGTCGCTGCTACCTGGGATGGAAAGGGCCATTTTGCTCACAGAAGACAAACACATGACTCATTCTAAAATGAAAACGTCCTCTAGTCAAAATGTACGAGTATTATGTTATTGAAAGAGTAATTGTCAGAAATTATCTGTGCAAATTCATACAGCACTTTAAAAACTGCCTATACATTTATGATGTATATATATTTTTTAAATTAATGTTTGTTTTTTACAAAAACTGAATAAAAGATTTCTAACTAACTTTTACTTATCTTGTGGGCAGATATGGCTTTAGATTGCCTATGGCTCTAGGCAGGATACTAGATTGGGGACCTTTTATAAAGCCTTGGACTTTTTTCTGTTAGTGTTGTGTATGTAGGAGACTGAGTGCTGTGCGTATGGTGGCTGAGCATTGTGTGTGATGGCTTAATTTTGTGAGTAGAGGAGTCTGAGTATTGTGTGTTTATAAAGAGGGCAGTCTAAATGTGGCTGAGTGTTGGGTGTGGTGGACACTGTCTTGTGTGGTGCCTGAGTATTTGGGAGAGGTGTTCTCCATTTGCCCCCTCCCGCTTACTGTGCAGCAGGAGGCAGGTGTAATCTGTGGAGGTCCAGCAGAGGTGTGGTGGTCATTCCCTAGTGGTCATGTAGGAGGAGCTTGTGGTCTCCATTTTTATTAGCAGCAGACCCCTTTAAGAGCTCCCTTGCGGTTATGATGCTCAATCAATGTCTCAGAGCTCAGAGCAATGACTGTGTGGCTCTGAGTCATTGAGAAGTGCCAAGGTACTACAAGGGAACTCTTAAAAAGGTCTGTACCTGATAGAGGTGCAGACCACACATGCCCTTAATGAAGTGAACAAGGAGATTTATTGATCTCCCTGCTACGATATATCATTGATTATAGCTATGGTAGCCTCATAGGAGCTTAGAAGTTGTGTTCTACTGGTTTGGCAAAGGGACACCGTAATAATTTCCTGACTACCGCTGACTCCATTTAGCAGTCATGAATGGGGGTATGCCATCCTCTGGCAATCTAGTATACTCAGCCTTCTAAAGGCTGACACAGTGGGCAAGCTGATCTTTTCTAAGGAAAGTTTGTTCCATACTAAATATATTCACAAGCCATTGAGTCCAGGGCATTGCCTAAGGGGGTAAAGCATTGTATGTCCCTTGATGGGTGTATACGTAGGGTACCCTGCCCTCGCCCGACTGAAGGTTCCTAGACATCCAGTGTTCGATCCACCTCTACCCCCACTCTCTTCAGCTCTCACCTGATGAACCATGAGCTACCACAGATTACAACTCACAGTAAATGTTATTGTCAGTGTCTTACATTGTTTATGGCTGGACACAATGTACCAGTTTGTTTCTTTTACTTAATAAAAATGCCTCTTACCACGTGTTGAATATATGACTATTAATGATCTGATATCTTGTTGACAATACAATATTATGTATTCACATGTTACTATGTGTATCGCCTCAGGTGGTTGGAGAAATAAATGAATAATTTCAAAAGAAAAATAAAATATTGCAATTACAAAGCTTCAATATGGTTAGGAAGAAGAGATATTATCTGCTGTCAGTGTTTCCTATCAGCATGTTGCATCATTTCCAGAGTTTGGTTTTCATAGCAACATCAGTTGAAACAGGAACCCCTCTCTCAATGTTCTCTACTGGAGCTCTGTTGAGTGATATACAAATGTGTTAATCCACAAGTAACAGAGTCAAAAGGAGGAGGGTGAGCAAGTAGCTCAAAATTTTATGAGTACCAATTTTATGTAACCAATCCGCTGCTTCTATATCCTGGTCATGGGTAGACATGTAAGATACATTCATGGTCACTTTCCCTCACTGGTGCAATTGGGTTTTGTTCATTTGTAGGAGAAGGGTATTCATTAAAAGCATCACCATCAACACAACAGGGGTTACACTTCAATATTCTGATCCTGTAAGGACATATAAATGCCACTATATAGTAAAAACCCAAGTAAAAGAAAGTTACCCGCGCTCTCTCCTTAATCCCTATGTATATTTAGACAAATGGAGGTCATTTAGTTACTCCAATGTCCATTGGAGGGAATGCCCGCCTGCCAACGTCAAGCGGGTCCTACACAGACCCTTCACCTTGCTTCCTTGAGCTTCTGGCAAAGATATCTCTAATGAGACAGAAAGGGGTATTTTTTATATACACCCCTATATACTTATTAACCCTTAATAGGGAACACATGGGATGGACGGCAGCATTGTAACAAAGCTGTGTGATACAAAAAGTGAATACAAATACACTTCCATCACTCCTGGGCGGCAGCAACGACCACAGTACACATCAGCCCCAATTCATAGTAAAAACTAAAGAAAAAAAAGTTACCTGCGCTCTCTCCTTAATCCCTATGTATATTTAGACAAACTGGCCTATCAGGAATCCCAGTGGGACTTCAGATATTTGCTAGTGCAAACTGAGCTGTGATTGCAGGTATTGAGGGACAATCCTCAACTTACACACTCCAGCACAATCTCAGATCACTTCCTCCGTACACTTGTGTTATGTGCAAATGCAAATATTACAAGTTTTAGATTGAAAAGTTGTATTTCTTAAACTGTGTACTTTGTCTTTAAGAGATTTTGCAAACTAGCAAGTTGTTAGACATGGAACATAAGGATTCCTTACCTCCTGGTGGGGCGAAGCTGCCCCTACACAGGTAAGCCGACATTCAGCTGATTCGGCCTCACTCGGCTGCTGGGTCACCAGAAGTGACGAGGTTAGAGCATTTTCACGGGATAGGGTATTTTAATAGAACACTGGCACGCTAAGGGGCTTGAAGATCTTGTTCTGGCATAGTACTACTACCCCTTAAATTGTAAGCTCATTTGAGCATAACTCTCTTCATCTACTGTGCCAATATGTCAAACACTGTTTGCTAGAATTATTTCTCTTGATTTACCTAATGCATAGTGCTATATAAATAATTGTATTTGTAATTGTATGATGCAGGAGGGAAAGTGATTCATTAAAATAAGCAGCTTGATTAGATATATTTCTTGTTTAATTGACTAAATTTCTGCAAAATACTATTATTTTTGTGAATTTCACATTTAAGGCCAGAGTAGCTGAACTGAAAGCCTACAGATTTGTTCTATGCTCTATTTTGGCTTTTTATTTGAAATTCAGCTTCAGTTCATTTGAATTCACTTTAAATTCTCAGTTAAGCTTAATTGATATACATTACATCTCTTGCTTAGAAGCTAAATGAAAATATAAATAACTTTATCTGGAAATAAGCATTGTGTCTTTTTTTTTTTTAGATATATAATTTACAAGTCTGAGAGCGCCATCTTGTGGTCACTATTCTAGGCCAGGAAAACTACAACTCCCTACAAGCAACTGGCTATTAGCTGCTGTTCATGTGACGTCCTGACGTTTGATTGGTCAAATATGAAACAGCATGAAAGCACATGGGGGACCATCCAGGAACCGGGTGAGTGATCTATCTGTGACCCTAATGTGGGCATGCCGGGAATAGATCTGGGTGGCATATGAGGGGCACAAGTGGGAGACCTCCCAGCATACCATTCCCAAGAGTAAAATAAGGAATATGACACATTATTCTATTATACAGCTACACATGGCTGTTTGTGACCTTATATGGCACAAAGTATGCAGTCTGTGCTATTTGCAGTATTGGGACCTACCCTTACTCTGTGTTTATTTATAGATGGACACATGATCATTCCAAGTATTTCTAGATTACATGTCATTTTATCCCAAGAGTTTCCAGGTCAGAGCATACCTTTATTATAGTGTTAATTTAGCCATGTGTTTGTCTAATTAGAGTAGTTTACATCCAAACACTCCATGTTCTACTTGCCCAGGTCCCTCTCTGATATCCACAACCTTGCTCTCTCTGATATTGCAAATATTACATATTAGTATATTACAGAGGTCCATACTAATCTTACAATGGCTTTGGAATTGGTGTAGGAGCTCGTGTTTTGATTTTGAATGCATTCTAGATATAAATGAGTTACTTTGGCACATAATTAGTAGACAGTAAATTAAGGGATTAAATATCCGTCCATCACAACAACCACCTATTTACTACTTAGTGAATTGTAGGGTATATGGTGGATATAAGAGGTGGCACACTGGGTTAGCACCCTCTTTTTGGAGGCTTTTGTGATATTACCAGAGTGGGGATGCCAAAGAAGGTGGGAAATGTTCCCAAATTGAAACAGACCCAGCAGATTCAAGACAGTTTTTGAGTTATGTATTGTGCCCATATTGCCCATATAACGTGCCTTCAGCAACCCTTTTCCTCAGAGTGGTATTTTAAAATCTATATATATATATATATTTTTTTTTTTTTATATAGATGGTCTTAATTAGTTTATAATCTGACAAACCTAAGTAGAGAAGAGGTGGGATGGGTGTGAGCAATCCAATTGTTCTGACAGTTAAAGAATTATGGTACAGGAGTTCTTTGTTCTGTTACCTAGAGGTGTAGTTAAAAACCCAGTCTGCACAGTGATATAATAGCGGAAGCTATAGTATTGCCCTTGATTGTACAAGATCTTTTATGGTGCTTGCCTGTCCTATAATTCTTTGCTACTTTTTATAGCTTTCTATGAGTGTGTCAGTGCTCTTAATGCAGCTGGCTTCATTGATGAAGAAACACAGATAAATCTGCCTTTGTTAGCTTGCACAATAACATGTCCCCATCCCCACTAGACAAAAATAGTTTGATCATTTCTTCAGCTAGACTTCATATTTTCTCTCTCTTTGGGCATTTCATAATCCTTTTTGCTGTCTCCCTTTTAGGGTACATCTGCCCTCTAATCTTGTTCTCGTACCACTGCACCTACGCCAAGATCTGATTGCATCCTGTGCAGAGCTCCTGAATCAAACATGGCGCCGAAGTTTGGGTGCTCGTATCCACTCTTTAGAGCGTTCCTGCGATGAATTTCCTGTGTGTCTTGTCCTCATCAGGGAATGTGGGGGTCCAGTTCTTGGTCATGTTCGTCTCTGCAGAGTGATAGGACTAAAGGACAGCCTGTTCGTGGAATCAGTGGTTGTCAGCGAAGAACTACGTGGCAAAGGTTATGGAAGGAAGCTGATGGAGGCCACTGAGCACTATGCCCGTAGAAGGGGCTTTCAAAAAATGCACCTTACTACCCATGACAAGCAGTACTTCTACTCACATCTAGGGTACCAGCTTTCTGAGCCTGTTCAGAACATGGGCACTCTTGGTGGCTTGCTGCCTTCAGGCATATTTCAGAGCATGACATGGACAGACAGCACCTCGGCTAAGCTACCTGCTCCACCTTCACATTCTCACTTTACTTCTCCAGCTCTTCCTGTATCACCACCAAACCCTCTTGCATCAAATCTCCCACCTCCTCCTCTTCCAGTCAACCTTTCTGCATCTACCCTTTCTTCTCAACTTCCACCACTAAATGTTCTTTCTGCACCTCAACCAGCACACCATTCTTCTGACCCACTTCCAACTGTGGGTCCTTCTCCACAAGCACCCCCAGCTCCACCACCTCTTCCATCACCTCCATCTTATCTTGCAAACACACAATGTCCTTTTTCATCTGAACCTGTTAACAGTACAGCTTGTTCCACAAACCCCCCACCACCACCTCCCTTGCCTTTATCCTTTCCTTCTACTAACCTACCGGCATCTCCGTTATCGTCACCCTCAGGGCCACCACTCTTTCCTCCATCCCCCAAGTCAACAGAGTGTGCAGAGACTGGCCAAACCTTACAGTCCCCATACAAGGATTTCCGTGGGCAAACAATTTTCTGGATGAAAAAGTGCATTTGAGGGTGATAGTGCAAGGTGGAGATTTAATTACCATGGATTTGTTTTAGTTTTTGTCTTCTTTACCAGCTTTCCTTTCCTTATGCCACTGTGTCTTAGTGGTAATACTCCCCTCCCATGCCACTTGACTTTATTATTATTATTTTTTTTGTTCTTTGTGCCAGATATCACTATCACTGCCATTGTTTTCCTCTGTCCATGCTGTCTGCAGTTTGCTTTCTGTGGGATATTTTTGACCAATGGATTGTGGGCAATTTAGTGTTGCAACTGCAATGGAGCTTTGCTTAAAAGGACACTGTATGCACTGTAACTGTCACATCTTATTGAAGTGGCCATAGTGTCTGGAGCACACTTACACTGCCATACAATGTTAACCCTTTTAATGTTTTAATGCTAAACTAGCATCCCCAGCATGGAAGCATTAGCCTAAGCAGCAATGGATTGCTGAGAGGGTCAGCTGACCGTTTTCAGCCTATCACAGCACTTTTTGCTCATATGAATTGGTATGAATAGAATTCTGTTATCTCTACCGTAGCCATATCTCCAGTAGGGTCCAGGCTGTTGGTGGCCCGGGACCTTTGTTTAGTATTAAAATGCTCTAAAATGGCTTAATACGGAATGGAGAAATAATGCCAGAGGACTCCAGGTACCATAACTGATTCAATGAGTTGAAATGGTTATAGTGTTTACAGTGTCCTTTAAAGGGACACTCCAGGCACCCAGACCACTTCTGCCCATTGGAGTGATCTGGGTGTTAACTCCCACTACTCTTAACCCTGCAACTGTTATTATTGCAGTTTTTTATAAACTGCAATAATTACATTGCAGGGTTAACTCCACCTCTAGTGGCTGTCTAGCAGACAGCCACTAGAGGGCACTTCCGTGTCTCTAGCACAGATTTTCTGTGCTAGAGCGTCGCTGGACGTCCTCACGCTGTGTGAGGACCTCCAGCGTCGCTCAATTCCCCATAGGAAAGCATTGAAAAGTATTTTCAATGCTTTCCTATGGGGAGCTCTAATGCGAATGCCGCGCATGCACATTAGGTCTCCCCGGCCAGCCGGCGGGATCAGTCTCACCCACCGGCCGACGTAATGCAGAGGAGGATCGGCGGTGGAGGAAGAAGCAGCGATGTGGGACATGTCGCTGCCTCTGGTAAGTGACTGAAGGGGTTTTCACCCCTTCAGCAACCGGGGATTGGGAGGGAGAGGGGACCTGCAGTGCCAGGAAAACGGATTGTGTTCCTGGCACTGGAGTTTCCCTTTAAGCTCTGCCCATTGCCAAAAATTGCCCAAAACAAAAGATCTTGCTCCTTAGAAGAAAAAGTTGCTCCTACGTTTTCTGATGTACAAAGGTGGAAGTTTTAAAAAAATTAGAGTAGAGAGTCAAAACCCTTAAAGGAAAACGCTACTGCCCAAGTATACAATAATAAAATCACTGTTTAGTAGATATGCTAATAAAAACTTACATTCGTTTAATTATGTATATTTTCATTGTAAGTATATCAAAATCTGCAGTTCTCTTGTCTGGAGCCTTGGCAAGCCGTCCCCTTCTAACCATGCCCAGATTTTCTGTGGCTGTCCAATCACAGACTTCTTAATGAAGCTCAATGAGAAGTTGCAAGGCAGGTGCAATGAGCAATTGTTGCCTCTTGAGTTTAGTTCCACTGAGCTAACCAGACCTGGAAGTGACAGGACCCGTTATCTAAGTAACAGTAACCAGGTTTTTTTTTTTATAAAAGTGTCAATTCCTATTGAAATCTACACTCGTTGCAAATTAAAAAAGAAAACAGAACACATTTTTCACACTTAACGCTTATCAGCAAGCTAAAGTGCTTTAGAGTTCTGGAGTGTCCTTTTAAACATCCCTGCACAACCACCCCTCGCCCAAAAAACACAGAAAAGACTATCAACTAGAAGTGGATGAAGAAGCTTTATAGTGGAAAATTTTGCAGGTTTTGGATATTTACCACAGTATGAAAAACCAAAATGTATAGTCCTTTATTTGAAAAACTGCACTGTTAGTAATACATTACTCTTGTTGATCTGATAGATAAAGTATTGTATCTCCATTTTGTACCCACACCAAATGTGAAAGATGATATAAAATGCAGTGCCTTATTTTTTCACAAAACGTGAAGCAACATAAAGAAAATATTTAATGAAAACTGTGTGATTGAGTATTATAATTCCATGGAATAACAATGAAATGTTGATTTTTATTTGAAATACTCAGTTGTTGGGAAGTACTTGCAAGATCAAGTGTACCCACTTCTAAAACAATAATCAATCCACAATAAGTCAGAGGTTTGTCAATTACAAACAGATTTGTCACTTACCATTGGGTATTTAAATCCTTTAGCTGCTGGAATTGGGGACCAGAGGGTACTATACTGTTAGGAATACAGGTTTGTATTCCTAACACGATACTATACCTTTAAGTCTTGCAAGAAAGAGACATTGATAGCATGTTTATTTTGATTTATTAAAATGCATAGTTCGTTACATTTTCTGCACATTGTGGTAGTAAGTGGTGGTAAAATCTGCCCCACCTGTACCTTTCATAGTATTTCATTGCCTCAAGATACCCGTGGGAATTATTTAAACACTAGGGAAGGCAATAGATAGCTCAGATCAAAGGGATTAATCTAAATCTTGGGTTTAAATAGTATTGGGACTGATAGGAACACCTTTTGTGCAGACAGTAAATGCAATCAAGTAATTCAAATACCAATTGTCTATATCAGGGTATTTTGAATATAAAAGGAAGCCATGCATGAATAGAATCGTGTAGGCAGGGCTGTGTGTTTCTTATCTTACTTAATCCTTTGCTCAACAGTCTAGGACCCCCACTACTTTTTGTAAAGGTAATGTAAATGAGCATTTTACCTTATGTCATTGTTCACGTATTGAGTATCTAGTTAAAGTAGTAACCAGGAGTTGTGAAGTATTGACAAAGAAAGTGCAGGTTTTAGGCCACAATAGTTGAGCTTGAAAACAAAATGGTTGGAGAACTACTTGGAAAAATGTACATTGTGTGCCTGTAGTAAATATTGATAAAATAGACACATGTAAGAGTTTATTAATTGGGGATTGTGGCAAATTCTTAATGGAATTCCAAATTTTGGGATTGAATAACCAAGCTGGAAAAATAGCCGAGTGGGTGAAATTCCTAAAAGTTCTCCAGATTAGCGGTTTTCAGCACAGCCATTTTTGCCCTAAAATGTTAAATTTGAGATTACCAACAATTCATATGGTGAATAACTCTGATGGGGATGAAATGCCTGCCATCAGTGTAAGATTCTTTAGTGCCCACAATACCTGGTTCTGATTAAAGGACCACTATAGGCACCCAGACCACTTCAGCTTAATCTAGGGTTAACCCTGCCTGCTTTAAACATAGCAGTTTCAGAGCTTTAAACATAGCAGGGTTCATCCAACCTCTAGTGGCTGTCTCACTCACAGCCGCTAGAGGCGCTTCTCACTGTGATTTTCACAGTGAGAAGACGCCGGCGTCCATAGGAAAGCTTTGAGAATGCTTTCCTATGGACTGGCTGAATGCGTGCACGGCTCTTGCCACGCATGCATATTCAGCCAATGACATCGGAAGGAGGAGGAGAGTCCCCAGCGCTGGAGAAAGGCAAGCCCTTAACACCTTCCTCCCCCTAGAGCCCGGGTGGGGGGGACATATTAACACTATAGTGCCAGGAAAACTAGTTTGTTTTCCTGGCACTATAGTGGTCCTTTAAGGAAATCATAGTTCTGGAAGGGGAAAAAAATATCTGTTATAATCTGAATGGTACTGAATTTATTCTGTTGGAATTCGGAAAGTTGCCCTTTCCTCTCTCACAGGACAGGTAGCATTAAAAAATTAAAAATAAATAAATATATATATATATAAGTAAATTGAATCCCTACCCCCAGTGTCCTCCATCCTAGCTTTATGAAGGGCAACACCACCCTGAGCACCCCAGTAAAGGCCAAACTAATAGGATATATGTTTTATGTTTTGACTGACTATGGAAAATGAAATTTAAGGTGTGTAAAAATGTTGTTTTCTCCAAATGTCCAAGCGACAGTCATCACAGCAAGCCATGACACAGAGCAGGAACACAATTTCACCTAGAGTGCCCACAATACAGGAGCCTATGGATTATGGCTACCGAATCACAAAGAATACTATCCATTTGTGGTGACTGCCGCTTGGACATTTGTAAAATAATGTTAGCTTTTACTATCTCATTTGCTTAGGGTTGCCATATCAACCATTTTTTTTCCTAGACACGTCACTTGTGAGTGGTGTGGGGCTGTTCATGTAAAGTGCTGCCCTGTGGTGAGCAGAATTGATCTGAATGAAATCAAATATTAAAGCAAGGAAATGCAAGAACTTGCTCTATGTAATGTACACAAATTCTACAGGGGAGCACAAGGCATAATGAAATGAAGCATGTCCAATAAAGGTTATTGGCAGGAGTCGGCTTTGATGATGTAAAGGCATACAGAAACACAGTGGTAATGTAGCTCTGATAAAAGATGGAGAAATCAGTGATCAAAAATAAAATTCAAGGAGCAGGTACGTGGAGGGCAGTTCAATCCAGTGGACCTATTAACTAAACTTCAAATTATTGCCCATGTTTAGGAGTTAACATCACATTTAAAACTGATCCTCTAATTAACTCCTAAGACATTCTGGCAATGTGAATGACCAGTGAACATAAAGAAAAATGCACAGAGCATGGATAAGGATGATTTTTCCCTGCTACTCTCATCCATTCTATACAATGGCTGATTAAATAATCAGAGCAGACGATGACTTTAATTTATGCCTATTATACGTTCAGTCACTAGCATTCCCAATTTCCTTTAGTATTATTATAATTGGGGTTGATTATGACTTACAGGCAGCCAGTTTTTTAACCCTTTTGTGGATGGGGGATCCACATGTTTAGAGGGACACTTTCGTGTTAGGAACACATCTTTGTATTCCTAACACTAAAGTGTTCCTTTAAAGATAGAGTGGCTTGAGAGTACCACTACCACATTAATGTAGCAAAGGATGCAGAGGTGCAATGACCACTCAATCACATTTGTCATGGACCAAGAACCCTAGACAGCCAGGGGCCGGAACACATGGCCATCTTCCAGCTGGTGAGATAAGAGATCTCATCAACTGGAAAAGCAAAATGTAAAAAAATCTCTTCCATCAATAGGTTGTGGGGCCCTTGATGATGCGCAGGGTACCAGCAACCTATGGCACAGCACATAACCACCCCACTAAGTGAGACCTGGCAGCATTACCTGCTCTGTCTGCCAGGTCTCCTCCATGTCCTCCCACGCGGCACTCTGTGCGATGAGCCGGAATAGGACATTACATCACTTCCTGCACTCTCCTCTCACAGCCACCGAGGTAAGGGAGCAGCAGCCTGACAGTGACAACTGGGAACATGAGAGGGGTAGGTAGAGAAAAGGGGAAGATTGGAGAGAATGAAAAGTTGGTGGACGCAATCGAGAAACAGAAGAAAGGCAAAGAGTGGAAAACCGTGTAAAGAAGAGAAAATATAATGGTTCTAGGGGAGCAATCAGAGGGAGAACATCGTGGAGAGGGAATTTGGGAGTGTATGATAAGTATACGGGGACAGCAATGGAGAAAGAGAAATTGAAATGCTTAAAAAGGATGGGGAGAGGGGGAAAAATAGGAGCTGGTGGAAAGATGGGTTGAGGGGTGAAAAGACAGAGGCACAGATGGGAAAAATGGGTGTAATGCAGCAGAGGCACAGGTGTTTTGTATACAGACATGTGAGGTTAAAGGGAAGGGGCACAAAATGAAAGGGGTGAGTTTGAAAATTGTGTCCGGGATAGGAGAGAAATGCGAGAAAGGCACAATAGGGTGTTTGGGAAGGAGGAGTGTGACATGTAACAATTGTGAAGGTCACATTAAAGGTTCACAGGAGGGTGATGGGGAGGCAAGGTGTGACAGATAAAAGAGGAGATAATGTGTAGACAAACAGGTAAATAGTGTAAAGACACCAGTGGTGGAGGATGGTAAAGAGGACACCAAGGAAGGTGGGAGAACCCCTCACCCCCCCCCCCAAAAAAAATAAAAAACATAACTAAATATCTCAAACACATAAACTTTGACACAAGTTTCAAATACATTCCTCATTCACACACACAATGACACATCTTTTAACTATACCCCTCGTTCACAAATATGCTGAAACAAATTGCTAATAGACTCATCATTTACACATGCTTACACTCTACACACATACAGTGAGGGAAAAAAGTATTTGATCCACTGCTGATTTTGAACGTTTGCCCACTGATAAAGAAATGATTAGTCTATAATTTTAATGGTAGGTGTATTTTAACAGTAACAAAAAAATAATCCAGAAAAACGCATGTCAAAAAAGTTATAAATTGATTTGCATGTCAATGAGTGAAATAAGTATTTGACATCATTCAGATGTTCTTTGGCAAACTTCAGACGGGCCTGTACATGTGCTTTCTTGAGCAGGGGGACCTTGTGGCCGCTGCAGGATTTCAGTCCATCACGGCATAGTGTGTTACCAATTGTTTTCTTGGTGACTATGGTCCCAGCTGCCTTGAAATCATTAACAAATTCCTCCCTCATCCTATTCCTCCTCCCGTGTAGTTCTGGGCTGATTCCTCAAAGCTCTCATGATCATTGAAACTCCACGAGGTGAGATCTTGCATGGAGCACCAGACCGAGGGAGACTGACAGTTATTTTGTGTTTTTTCCATTTGCAAAAAATCGCACCAACTGTTGTCACTTTCTCACCAAGCTGCTTGGTGATGGTCTTGTAGCCCATTCCAGCCTTCTGTAGGTCAATCTTGTCCATGACATCCTTGGGCAGCTCTTTGATCTTGGCCATGGTGAAGAGTTTGGAATCTGACTGATTGATTGCTTCTGTGGACAGGTGTCTTTTATAGATGTCTTTAAGAGAGTGCTCCTAATCTCAGCGTGTTAACTGTATAAAAGACACAGGGGAGCCAGAAAGCTTGCTGATTGATCAAATACTTATTTCATTCATTGACATGCAAATCAATTTATAACTTTTTTGACATTTTTCTGGATTTTTTTTTGTTGTTATTCTGTCTCTCACTGTTAAAATACACCTACCATTAAAATTATAGACTGATAATTTCTTTGTCAGTGGACAAATGTTCAAAATCAGCAGGGGATCAAATACTTTTTTCCCTCACTGTACATCTCTGCTTCACACTTCTCACAAATACGCTCCTAAAGTCACACACTGCTAACATGTACTCCTGTGTTCACACAGACACTCCATACACCTCTATCCCTAAATTCATACACAATCTCCATATTAATGCACTTTTGCATTGATACACCAACACGTCCCTTTATTCATAGACATAGGCCCTCAACAAAATTACACCCAAGCATAAAAACATCCTTACATTCACATCCACATTCCATAGATACCCCTGCTTTCACACACATCTGTTATACTCACTCGTAGAACACTGTATTTACACTCTTACACTACATGCAAATAAACCTCTGCCACTACACGTTATACTTTTAGATTGATGCACATCAACATTACACATACATACATCAATATATTTGCAGCAGACAAAAATACATTTCTCCATTCACACACAAACACACACATTTTAATATTGACCATATATATATTATATATAGCACATGCATCCTTTCAGACAATGCACAAGTGCATTTGCACAGATTTTACACACTCAAATACAAACACGCATTTATATAGAGGTTTTCACACTGTACACATCCAGAGAAATGTTTGGCCAAAGGCTCTCAGTTCGTCCCTGATAGGATGTTATAAAGTGTAAATAACAGCAAAAGAAGATTAATTGTAAATCAAAAACTTTAGGTAAAAGGGAAGATGGTTTACTTTACATTGTGACACACAAACCTTACAATTATGATGGAAGAAACAAATAGAGATTCCTTTCACTGCCACTTTCCCCAGCCCCACTGCCCTGACACCCTCTTGTGCCCCACACTTCCACAGCTTTATCCCACCTGTGTTTCTGTCTCCAAACACAGTTGTCACAATTTCTCCCCAAATCATTTTTTTCCTTCCTTAGTATATCTTTACCCATCTCATACCCACTGTGCATATTTTCCTTCATCTTCCATGCCCTAACATTCTGCTTGTGTTGTCTCACTCTCCTCGTATACCTCTCTACCCCATATGAGAGTCACTTGTTTTGTGCTTCTTTAACCCCAGCTCCCCACTTATTTGTCTTTGTCTAACATCCTTGTTGTCTCACCATCATGCCCCCCCCCCTTGCCTGTTCCCTGCTTAGTGTTGCTAACCTAACACCCTGCTTATGTGTATCCCAAATATATACCCCTCCTAATTGTGCCTTTCATTCTTCCTATAACATCCACCTCTTCTCCATGTCACCCAAACATGTCACTTCTTTGTGTGTCATCCTGTTTTCCCATCCATTTCTTGTTTCTTCTGATTCCAGTCAACATTGATAATGTGCCTATACTTATTTTCATTCCTGTAAGTGCATTTTATAGTAGAACAAGTGGATCGTGTTTGTCTTTCTTCTGTTCATATGTGCTCAAGTAACCTGTAAGATTTAGAAGAGTTACTATACCCAGGGCCGTTTGAAGGAATTTGGGGGCCCCAAGCAAAATGGACATGGAGGCCCCCCAAACACCCCACCCAACCCTTCCCCCCTGCCCCGCCTTCTAAATACACACACACATTCACTGACAGATACGCAAACACTAGCTAACAGACAAACACACACTCACTAACAGACACACACACTCACTAACAGACACACACTCACTAACAGACACACACTAACAGACACACACACACACTCACTCACATTAACACACTCACTTTTCCAAAAAAAATTATTTAACCCCCCCAGCCTCCTTACCTTTGGGAATGGGGGGTTCTTCCTCTCCCTGGGGTCTAGTGGGGCTGCTGGGTGGTCGGGCGACACTGGTGAGGGAGCACTTCCCCCCGAGCACTCTGCTCAGCTCCCTCGCGCACCGCAGAGTGATGCCGGCAGCCAGAATATGACGTCATATTCGGGCTCCCGGCATCACTCTGCGGCACGCGAGGGAGCTGAGTAGAGGGCTCAGGGGAAAGTGCTCCCTCGCCAGCGCCGCCCGACCGACCGACCAGATTGTTAGTTAGCCGCAAGGCTAACAAGACATTTGCCCTGGGCATTTGGGGCGGCTTTTTTTGCCGCCCAAGGCAAATGAATTGTTTGCCTCGTGGCTAATACTTCCCTGGTCGTTGTCTTGGGGCCCCAGGCCAGCTCGCGGCCCAGGCCAGCTTGGGGGCCCCAAGCAATTGCTTGGTTTGCTTGTCTTGTCACGATGGGCCTGACTATAACCACTTTTCATACTACAGTGCTTCTATCCATAACCCCCAAATGTGCAAGAAACGTCTGTTTGGACACTGGAAATTTATGCTGTAAAGCCAGGAACCATGGTAGGTGGCTAATCCTGCTCTAAAATGTAAACTTTAGGGCAAGACTCTCTTAAACCATATAACACGCTTTAAATTAACTCTCTCCAGGCCTCTCCTGGATTACCCTTGCTTTGTGGAGGCAGCCATTTTAAGCCCTCTTTGGCCAGGAGAATCACTTGTCACACATAATTTTATGATCTGATCGTGTTCAGGAGCATATTTTTGAGATGCCCTGCCCTTGTGCAAGATGTCAGAAATCATGAATGCACACACTCGGATGTACAAATCGATCAGTTCATTTCTACGAATCAAATCGATTTGTTTGTCCGTAGCTGCCTCTCCGCCCCTTGCTGAGACCATCCAGTGCTTCTTCACAGAGAAGCATTGGGGGGCCTGCTGCCCGTGTGGCAATAACTACGCTGTGTCAATCAGGATGTCCTCATACAGGGTTATTTACTAAAGTCAGAATTGTTGGGAATTCAAAGTTTATTTCAAATTGAAGTCAAAATAGGAAAAAATTCTCCAAGTTAACTATGCTTCTGGTTTGGCTACTGTAATTCGAAATTAACTTTGAATTCCTGATTATTCTTACCTTAGTAAATAAACCTGAATGAAATGCATTATACCAATGCATCTATGTGGGAAGCATTCAGAGTCTTCATGCTCAGCAAAGAATAAGAATGTTGGTTCTGCAAATACTGAAGGACTGTAACAGGAAGCACCACTAGTGATCAAGTGACAGCCACTAGAGGTGTCCTTGGGGAGAAATGTAAACACTGCTTTTCACAGAAATGTGTGCTGTGTTTAGTGCAGACACAGGGCCTTTCCACCAAAAACATTAAGCTGTAATGGTTCTGCTGCCAGGGGCGTTTTAGCTGCGAGGCAAACAAGGCATTTGCCCTGGGCGGCATTTTTCAGGGGGCGGCAAAGAACGCCGCCACCAAATGCCCAGGCAAATGCTTTGTTAGCCTCGCGGCTAACTGACCGGCCGGGCGCTGGGCTGGCGGGCGGCGCTGGGCAGGCGGCTGGCGAGGGAGCTCTTCCTCTGAGCGGTCCGCTCAGCTCCCTCGCGCGCCGCAGAGTGAGGCTGGGAACCGGAATATGACGTCATCTAGGGCAGCACAAAACCAGGATACACCACTGTCTGCTGCTGCTACTTACAGTGTCCCTCTAATGTCAATCAAGTAAAAGTAATAATCTGGGTGGAGCCAGTACCTGAGCTAACCGGCCGCACCTTCAGACTGCTCCGCGCGACAAGCTCAATTAACTCGATTGGAGCCATAATCCCCGCACACACCGGGCCCCTAAACCGGCTCACAGCTTACCGACAATATGGGGAAGAAGAGCAAGAAGCAGAGGGCGGATCCGGAGATATAGGGGCTTTTCTCCGAGCCGCGTTGCGGCCTGCTGAGTCCAAGATGGCGCCCGAGATCTATGCCTCACAATCCTCGGACGAGGATAGCTACTTTGCAGAACCTGCACTACTGACTCGCGCACAACAACTGCCACAGAGACCCGTGGACATGGGGGACGCTGCTCCAGCCACCAAAGCGGATATCAAAGCTTTGGTGAAGGACATCCAGGCCATGTTCCAAGCGGACATGGTGCTGGTAAGGGCAGACATAGCCACACTCACCAATAAAGTGGCAAATGTGGAGGTGGGCCTGGGGGACACTAAACTGGTGCAAAGTGCCACGGATGCGGCACTGAGCTTACTCCGCAAGCAATACGCGGACCAACAAGCCCAACTGGCTGGCATGGAGGACCGGTACAAGGCAAGAAACCTGCGGGTCCGTGGAGTGCTGGAGACACTCACCAGCTCGGAATTGCCGCACTTTTGCCAACGGCTTATAGCCACACTACTTACGCCACGACAAGCTAAGTTGATCACAATAGACTCTTGTTTCAGATTCATCAGGGTGGCCTCCACACCACGCGAAGGAGCCGGTGACGTACTGATTCAATTTATACGGGACTCTGACAGGGGCATGATTATGGGGGCTACAAGAGGCTCCCCCACGGTGGCGTTTGAAGGGGCACAACTGACATTCTATAAAGACTTCTCCAGGCACACCATGATGTGGAGGAAGACCTTTCGCCCGGTCACCCAGCTACTCCGTGAACAAGCCATCCCCTACAAATAGGGCCCACACCGACTACAGGGAGAAAAGGGGGGCGAAACACAAGCTATCCCACGCATCTGACATACCAGCCTTCCTGCAGGCACTCGGCCTTCCAGTGCTAACAACACAGCAGCTGACCCGTCCAACATGGACTGTAGCGGAGATTACCCCCTTCGTGCCTAGAAGAGAGGCTCAGAAAACCACTGCCCTACCAACTTGAAGCAGCAGCAGAGCAGGGCCCACACCCCCTTTACCTGTTGCACCTGACAGGAGATATACCTGATCCGTTTCACGTTTGTTATTTCCAATGCTGTTGCTGTCTGTTTTTATTCTCTTTTTTCTCTCCACCATATGCTGCTTTTTTAAACTATGCTCTTCCCAAACCCACACAATACTGGCTCCGGAAGCCTTTGAATAATACTACGCATTAAGCCACTTTCACCCCATTACACCCAGAGTGCGTAACACAGCTCAAAATATACCGCTCACTACCTGCTGCACTCTCAGCTAGCAACTTAGTCCACCACACCCAGCTACGACACACATACCTACCCGAGCTCACCTAACTAAGGTCCTACACTCAACACACTCACATTTAGAGGTGCTTTAATTCCTACTACAAGTCATACCCCGACACTAAGCATGCAGGCACTTAATGCTATACAACGCCTTTAATACACTTTATATATATATATAAAAAAAAAAAAGAGGCAGACAATTTTCGGAGATGATGTATAGTGAACTGTGATACCCCATCCTGTATGACTTTTTATTGTCTCCCTTTTTTTATTCTGTACCCGTAAATTTTATGCCTCAATAAAAGAAAGATTTGAAAAAAAAAAAAAAGTAATAATCTATAATAGTGATACCAAATGGCTAACTTTACAACTAGTGCATGCAACCCCACTTTTCCTAGTATCACGTCCCACAATTTCACAAACAAAGCCATTACGTACTAACGCATTATATTTCATCTGTGTTTTTATTGCAAACTGTAGGTCAAATGCATTAACAGGCTTACAAATTGAACAAATAAAAGAAAAATAATATACCCGTGCAGATTGCAAATATGCCAACCACACCTGCATCGCTGCCAGCGTAAATGTATAGGTTTGTTTGTTTTTGTGGAGTCTCCTCATTAGAGATGGACTTTGGATCCCTGGATTTGGCGAAGAATCTCTTCTTGCTTGTTAAGTTTTTCTGCTATTGTGTAGAGATATTTGTCACAGTGAACTGCAAAGAAAAAACAGAAGTCATTCTCCATGCAGAAAAAAAAACCAACTCACAGTATAGTATGCTGTTATTCATTAATAAAACCAATAGATTCTACAATCATACCAAAAAACTGAAATAATGCTGGACAGGGCAGTGCACAAACAAACTGCGCTAATTATATAATTAAAGGAACATTTCAAGTACCATAATAACCATTAAACACAGATAAATACACACACATTAACAACTTCAACTTATTGACCAAAATCAGCAACTTGCTAACCTGATCCAAAAAGTCGAAACTGTACAGCCCACGGCTGGTTTCTGGACACTGGTCCTTTTGGGTTGCAACCCATGCTTTGGTTTAAATAAAAGCTGTTTTTAAGACAATGCCCATTGCTAAATGTACATGTAAAAATGCAGGGCAAAGTCTGAAACTGTGCTTATTTGCATTTCAAGCTTTGTCAAAATATTGACAATCACTCAGAATTTCTGGCAAATTCACATTTAAGTGAATAACTCAATTAAAAGGATCATGCCAAGCACAATAACCACTACAGCTTACCATAGTAGTTATGGTGTCAGGAGTACCCTGGCTCCATCTCAGGTAAGTAGCCAAACTGTTTTAGTACAATTTGATAAGGCACTTACGACCTCTGGTTGCTGCATCCAGCCTTTTCCAGCAGAAGAAGCCAGATGTTATTGCAGTGGAAAGCCTTGTAGTTGCACAACCACGTTCATTGGATGAGAATGGTCATCTGCCGATTTCAGCCAATCAGTGCAGTGGCGCATGACGTGGCTTAACTCTGGAGAACTATCTGGATTCTCCAGCATGGGAAGATCTAAAGCAGGGACTGTGTCCGCTGGTGCCTGGCAGGTCCCAGGTAAATTGTCAATCTGTACTAAACCAGTCTGTCTTCCTACAGAGGGCTGGCGCAAGGGCCCTCCTGGCACTATAACCACTGCAGTTAGAAGTAGTAGTTATTGTATTTGGAGTGTTGCTTTGAGCTTTTAATGCATTTTTCAATTTTTTTTTTTAACATTAGACAAAGAAGTGTATGTGAAAAGAATCTGTAAAACACGGCAAAGAAACAAAAACGCCATGCATTCAGATTTTTGATAATTTGCAAGGTTTAAAATAAAAATGCCAAAAAATATAAAAACAAGTAACTTTATTTGATTTTTTCTTTACTTTTCTGCAAAAAAAAAAAAAAAGCAAAGATTGTGAGAAAGATTTTGGGTGTATTGTGTCAAATACTTACATTGGTTGTAGATCAGGTACATTACCATCGCCATAGTTACAAAGATCAGGAAGGACAGTATAAAATAGAAAACGACTGCCAAACAGGTTCTTATGGATCTTCTTTGGGAGGCAGATTCTCTATAAACCGGCCTAAGCCTTCGGACACACGTGCACACCACAGGAACTGAAAGGGGACCAATAGGTTAGTCAAACCTGATATTGAGTATCTCCTTGGACATTTGGACAGACATGATACAAAACCTTACAATACTGTTACAAATTACCCGCAGGTCATCCACTAAATCAAAAATTCACTTTGGAATTCCAAATTTTTAGGCTGAAACAGCCAAGTTGGAAAAGTTTGGAGAATTATTTTCAATTTGTCTGTGTTGTGTTAAAATTCTAATGTAAAGTCACAGATTTTATTAAAAAAAAAATAAAAAATAAAAAATGATAGTCTTAAAAATGCATTTGATAAACCAGAAAGTAGCCAAACTGTAAACATTCTTAATTAGCTATTTGTCCACCTGAGATATTGTTGTCTAAAATGTACAGTTCCCTTCCCAATTCACCAAATTTCCTTGTTTAGTAAATAACTCACATAAAGTCAACATATAATTTGCACCATGAAACTATCTTTGGTTTAAAAGTGGAATCCTACAATTTTTTAATAAGTCAGCAAAACCATTTTGGACCAGGCTAAATCTAAAATAGGCATACATTACAAATAATACTATATATTTTTTTTCTGCTGGGGTATAAAAGCCCCCAGGAGGAATAGGTATATAGTACTAAAATGTCAAACTAGTGGTATTAAAGGAACACTATAGGCACCAAAACAACTTTAGCTTAAAGAAGCACTTTTGGTGTATAGATCATGCCTCTGCAGTCCCACTCATAGTGTTCCTGTCACAGCCAGGGGAGGTGTAGTTAGGGTGCATAATCAAATACCAAAAAGTGATTTTATTCATGAATGGCGAATTGAGCAGTGAGACTGCAGGGGCATGATCTATACACCAAAATTGCTTCATTACACTAACGTTGTTTTGCTGCCTATAGTGTCCTTTTAACGGTGGTGGTGGTGTGAATTGATTATGGTTATTAGAAATTAAGGAGGTATGGGACTGGGCATGCTTATGGCAGAGGGATAATGATTAGAGCTTAATGGGAGATGCTGGGACTGTTTAGGTGAATCTCCGCTTTAAATATTTTAGTATTGTTAACTTGAGTGGTAGTTGCTTATGCAAAGTTGTTTATAATTAAAATTTACAACAAAAAATAAAATACTTTATTCACCCTGACTGTTTAGTTTACACATAAAGTATTTTGATGTAAATCTCTGTGATACAATAATTCTACATTATTTTCTTAATAAAGCTGTAACATATTTCTCAGAGCTGCTGTACCATGAACACTTTGTGGCGTGTCGTGTGTTACTTCCTTAAACTTTTCATTGATATTTAAAAGTTATCGGACTATATGAACTGTCCTAATAAATGTTTAATACTGTTTAGTTTTAAACCCTTTTATTGTCATGAAACAAGGAAGACTTCATTGAGGTATTTTTGTTTTTATTAAAGATATTGATGGGGGGTGGGGGCTAATCCAGTGGTGTTGTTTACTAAGGATAATTAACTTGCTTTTATGGGAGTTTTACACTGATCACATGATACTCAGATATAATGAATATACTAATTGCTTATTAACAGCCAAACGTGAATTTTTTAGATACTAATATTGTAAAGCACTGTGAGAAATGCCCCAAAAACACAATAATAATAATATTATTATTAATAAAGCCCATGCAGATAATAAATAAGTCATGGGGACAGGCTATTCTACCTTGGACCCCAAAAAATCCTAACAATCAAGGGGATACAATGTCTCTTTATATAATATAATTTTTGTTATTCCCCTTGCTGCTCAGGCATTCTTTGGGTCCAGGGTGGCATAGTGTGACTCCTCACAGGGATGTTACCAATTACTGGCCTATCTGATCTGCACATTTCTAATACATAAACAATGAGGAGGTTCACTTACCTTCTGAGTGAGGTGAGGTCTCTGGGTTTAGGGGTACAGTCTGCATGTCATCGACGGGCTCAGGAGTCAGCAGGGGCACATCTGATTGAGACCCAAAATGTTCACCAGCAAGTCCCTTTTCCAAAGTATCTGAGCCTGCCATCATGATGATTGTAGTGTCCAAATGTAGGGTCCAAATGTAGGAGAAACACAATGATACTGTGGCAAGTTGTGCAAATGTATAAACCGGGGCCAGAAGAGGGAGGATCCACAGGGAGAGTGTGGGAGGGGGAACTACCTAAAATAAGGTGTTTAAACAGAGAGAGAGGAGCAGGAGGACAGAGGTGTAAGGAATATGCATATAAACAAGAGAATCAGGGATTCCTGTGATTCAGGGAATGGCTAATGTCATTCAAATGGCTCAGTGGGAGGGCAGAGACCAAACAATCTCCCCCACTAGGCCAAAGGAGACTACTGTGTGTATCCCTGGGGCACTCACAGAACCTTCATAATGATCTTTGGCTCCAACCTAGGCAAGTAATATGCAAATTGAGGATACAGTCTATGTATCACCTTTACCTGGGAAAACAAACAGCTTATAGAAAGCCTGGGAGCAAACAGGTCATATTACAAATTACAATGTTTTTATTGATAAGGTACTAATCTGCATTGGACAAAAAATGTCTAATAGTAAGTATCTGAGCCAGCCATCATGATGCTTGTAGGGTCCAAATGTTGGAGAAACACATTGATGGCAAGTTGGGCAGATTTATAAACAGGGGACAGAAGAGAGAACATTTCCAGGACAATTACCGAACCTCATTTTGGTCTATAATTGACAATTTAATTTATTTCCCCTAAGTGTATATTATGTTTTTAAACCGTCATTTGTATTTATATTTGATGGGGGTGATTTATAAATGTCGTCAATAACCTTGAAAGACCAGAAACTCCTTTTGCTGATTTCATTTGTTTTCATTTTTTTAAAACAGTTCGTAACTTATTTTTTTAATTAGCAAATTTTTTTCAAAATTTCTCCTGAGCCAGGTTTTTAAAACATACTGAAATGGTTTAATTATGTTGCTCCATGTCAGGTTTGTTTTAATAAAAATCTGCAAAATTTGCTGGTGTTTTATTAAAATAATAATAATAATAATAATAATCACGTTAAATAACTCATGCTGTAAATAAAAAATAAAAAGATTATAAAAAATGTATATTCCTACCTACACTTTATAATTGAACATGCCCAATATAACCTGTAGAAAGAAAAGTATTTGTTCATTGTATGACTTTTCATACATTGGTATGGTAATCAAAGTCAAACTATTATGTAAAATAAAACATGCATTGATTTAAATCGCCTCAGCCAGACAACCCGTGGGGGAGATATGGATGTAGCGGATGGCACTGGGCTGTCCTGGAAATTGCATCTGTTTGAATGTATTCGTTAAAATTGCAGGGTTATATGTGTAAAAATAGGTTGTATTCGTCTGATTGTTTGGTAGAATCATTCTAGCAACTAAGGGAATGAAACTACCGAACAGTCAGACCTCCCCTGTGGGAAGTGTGCCTTCAATTACCCGTTGCAACAATGTTGCGAACGGGTAATTGACAAGCTGTGTAGTGGGTCCTTTGTTCTCGGGGGTGGCCGCTATTCAGGAAACGAACACGTGGCGGCGGCCATTTTAAAATTCCCGAACAGCGGTGTTTTGCCGCCGAGTGTCTGGAACCCAAATCGGACACTCGGCTAGGCAAACACCGCTGAGACCTCCATACGCACGATACGTTCGCTTCCAAACTACCGAACGGCCCCTCGTTCGGTAGAAAGAAACAACTGAACGAGGGGATTCATGCGAACTCTCCCTGATCTCTGTAACCTTAGCCTTTCGTGTAGTTTGTTCCCTTATACTGTGACCGACCGCAGGGCCCCATCGCATGGAACCCAATTCGGCTGTTCTCTCCAGCGCGGTCGGTCTTTTATTACCTCCATAAATTTCCCGAACCCCTGGTCCGTTCTGGGTGATTTTTGGATATGTTGCTCACCCAGATCAGGGCTACCAGGGGATGTGCAGCTACCAGGGGATGTGCAATTTAAAGGGGTACCCCTAGATTTACTGGAATTTGTGTACTGTATAAGGGGATTATGAGTCAGACTGGGGGGAGGAGATGTGTGGGAGGTTACCAGAACAGGATTGGATACTGTAATAATTAATGGGAGCATGCTTTATAAGGCCACTGTGGAAATAAAAGTTTAGTTCTGCTCCTGATGCTGTGTGTCGTCCAGTCATTGGGATTGCTGTTGGGATATTGCTGTATTGTTTTACCTGCTGGAAATCTTGCTTTATGGACTTATAACTACTTGTTCCTGAGCCTCACGGGGATCTTAAGCGGAGATAACTTGTGGAATACTAGATCTCCGCTACAATGGAGATGCCTTTTAAGTAAATTAGAACATTATCAATGGACACATGGGAAACTGAGTTGTCCCCAATATGTACAAGAGCTATACAATTCTGTTATTTGCATTCCAATCAGAGGACCTTGTTTTTATACAAGTGCAAATTAAATTATGTATGATCTAATTACCATAGATTGAATGGTGACATTTCCTGCAGCCAACAAAAATATCTGGAGTTAAACAATGATAGATCATTTATATGATTGATAATGGAATATGGGTTAAAAAAAAAGGTTAAATAGGAACTGCTACGTCTCTGTATTTTTAACATTTCCTTTTCCCTATATTTAACAAATAAGTATTTATGAGTTGTGAACAATAAAATTATATGTAGATATTCACACTTCTTTATCCCACGAATCCCATCTCACAGCCAATCATTATCTCTGTCCTTTGCACCTAGCAGCAAGCATTGAGAAATCTTACAGAAAATAGCAGAAATAAAATAATGTTTCAATTTTTCTCTCGATTTGCAAACTTTGTCCAGGTTTTGCCTTCTCTGAAGTGTATTTTGATGTAATATGCTAAATCTTTAATATAAATGTTAAATATATAAAAGTTAATTTATTAGAGATTTTAAATATTTTATTCAATGGTGTAAAGTGACTGTTCTCACAGGGGGCAGTAAAATGCATCTTCACCTGTATAGCCAAAAATCCTTGCACCCAACCTTTCTATATCTCCTTTCATTCCAGCTGTATATATTTCGATGTGAGCCGGCATACTAGGGATCCCCTACACGGCAAGCAGCCCTCAGCTTTCCATGTGAAGTGTTCAAACCATGAATAAACCTATTCACTAGCAATTTTATCATAGCTCATAGCCTTTCTGTGTGTGACTCAAGCTCCCAGCATGCTTAGCTAACCATATGCTGTCTAAATTTGCCCAAAAGGCCTTCTGCGATACTTTCACTTGAATAGGCCTTCACTAACATTGCCAACATAGTGATTTTATACCCACAGTAATCTGTGATCAAAGCTGGATTAAGACTCCAATGACCTTTTTACTCCACTCCCTTTAACATCATGTAGTACCATCTCCAAATTTTCAGTTATCACTTAAAACAATGAAGTAAATGTCTGTGATGGTTGTAAAAACAGATTTGTACTTGTATGTATTGACGGCACAAATATACCCCCCCCCCCAAAAAAAATAAAACCAGTTCACAGTCCACAACATCTTGATTGCAGTTACCCACAACCCCTAACCCATTCTGTGAGAAATGTAAAATGTCTCCTTTATGCATGGTACTGATATTCCTTTTCTGTGTCTGTTGTTGCACACATAAAGTGCATGAAATGGCACATGCTGAAACATTTGAAGCATGACTTGTTTTTGTAAAAGTTTATCTGGAATCACCTGGCCAATATTGACCTCACAAGGAGTTTATCCCTCACTACAGGGATAATCTGATCTGTATTTAGGATGTTTGCTACCTGACACTGCTTAAACAGATATGCTCTCTGACCCAGAGCCCCCATACTATGGCATTTCTCAATTCACCCACTGAATGTCCAAGAAATGGACATGCACTTGTTCACACCTGGTACAGAACTCAACTCAAACTCTAATCTGTAATGTGAGTTTTTGCATATTTTGTAACAAACCCCAAAAGGTGATATGTCTATTTGGGTGGAGGTGGCCATGGCGGATGCAGGTAGGGACATATACTTTCCTTAAACTGTCCCTCCTTGGAGCCACCATCATTCTATAGCTCCTGGTAAAGTCCTCTGCCAGAAGCTGTTGTTACTATGGTATTAATGCACGTGTGTGAGAGTACAAGATCCAGTTAGATCTCATGCATGCACAATAAGGCACCATAAGCATAAATTGTGCATTGTGTGATATGACTGTTTTCGTTACCATTATGACAGACTGATGATGGGAAATTGTGAAACTTCACCTTTGCCAAAGAATGGCAAATACATGAAGTAATACATTCCCTACTTTCTCTCATATACATCTTTTCATATTAAGTGTCAAAGTGACATTGCACTTGCGTGATTTATTGACTGCACTGGGTTTTAATTACAGCGCCATTGATCCTTAATTTTTTTAAGTTTTTGTATCTTGTCATATGTTTCAAAGATGTTCCAACTCAAAAAGAGCTTATTATAAGACTTCATCTTTACTAGTATGAAGGTGAGGGGGGAGTTATAGGGCAAAGACAGGTGGCTAGGGAATTGTGGACCCAATGCCAGTGTCCATCCCCAAATGTATAATTATTTAGGGCACACACCCAGCACCGATCTGTTGAGGCCTGGGGGGAACTAGGTCCTGCCCCTGAATAATAAAATGTCACCCCTCCTATGTGTTCCCTGTTAAAGGTTAATAAGGGGTTTAGTAAGACACCCTTCTATGTCTCGTAAGAGGTTTTACTTTTTTTTTTTACCTGAAGCCAGCAAGGTGAATTGTTAGTTTATGACTTACCTACGAGGTTTTGCCATGGCGTGGCAAGTTAGTTTACACTTCAATGGCCATTGGAGTGATACCAAAGTTATTTAAATGTGCATAGTGAATTGGGACAGTGTGCATGTAACTATTTTCTGTGGTTTTTATTGTATGTATTGGGAATGATGTATATTATAGTCTTTGCTGCTATCCAGCAGTAGTGGGAGTTTGAGCTCAGGGCTTAATATTTTTGTGTTTGTTTAACTCGTGAGACAATGCTGAACAACAATGAGAATTTTCTTTTTGTTTTTTGTTTTTTATATTTCAGACATGTACCTGCCTGGTATTATTTTTGCTGATGCTTCTGTGATTTAGGCTTGGTACATTTGTCATCATAAATATCTCCTGGTTAATTTATTAAGTGTTTCTGTGTTTCATGTTAAACTCCCCGTGTCCCACCCCGACCCCCCCCTACACTGATAATTAAATCCTATTGTGAATTCCTGTCTATCAGTCTTGGTTTCCCTGCTTGCTTTGGAGGGAGAGCTCATCTTACATACTTTATATTACAAATAATTATTGTTCTGTTTATCTGCCCGGTTTGGGTAATCCTATATGTTCATCTCGTTTCCTCGTCTCCTCTGCCCTGTCTCCTTACCTCTCTGTAGCTGGATGTGAATTAGGCCCCAGTTAATTATTACACACTATATTTAGAGAGGAGAAAAAAAAAAAAAAGTAAATAAAGAAGGAATCAGGGAAGGAGGGAGTTCTCGAGAGGAACTTTGATACATTAGTGCTATTTATTAGGTAGACATTTCCATTTTGTTTATCCATGTATCCCAGTCTTCTATTTGAGTATATCTGTTTCCTAGGTTCACCGAGATACCCCTTTCCATTTTTGCCTTGTGTGATTAGTTATTGGGTGTATGGGATTGTCCCTGTTTTCCAGTTTCGTGCTAAAACTAATTTAGCTGCCGTGATAATATATAGCATTAACATTTGTGGGTTTTTTGGCCAGTTCAGGTTTAACAGGACCACGTCAGGTTTTAAAACTAATTTCATTTCTGTTATTTGATATATTACATAGATTACATCTTTCCAAAATGTATTTATGGGTGTGCATTGCCATCATACATGGATCAAATTGTCTTCATTAACTTTGCATTTCCAGCATCTATCTGATGACTCTGGGAAAATTTTCTTTAAATATTTAGGTGTTAGGTACCACCTGTTTGAGAGTTTGAATTGTGTTTCAGTAAGATTTAGGCAATGTATATATTTATATAATTTGTTTAGGGAAACTATCCACTCTTCTTCTGGTATATGTACTTTCAATTCTTTTTCCCATTTTTTAATCAGCTCTATCGGTTTGTTGTGTCTCAAACTATATATAACCTTGGTGCATTTTTCCAAGAGATTTTTATAATTCTTTAGTTCAAGTAGCTGTATAAGATTTATATTTTTTCTCCCCCTTGTTTTTTTAAATTTTTATATTCTTTACTTTTGTTGTGCGAGCATTACATCCAGCTTGGATAGCCATGACAGCCATAACAAGCCCAATGGCAACATAATATAACATCAGCATGGCATATATAATAACGGCACATTTTTAAATGGTAAGAGTTGAGTATAAAATGAAAACAACAGATTGTTAAATTATTAAGAGAGTAGTTTCCGTACGAACAGTAGAGTCATCACTGGCATAGGTACATTTCAGTTAGAATAAGCATTCTAAAGGATTGCGATTAGTGGGATCTAGTGAAAGCCAAGCCCCCTAAGGGATAAGGCCGGTATGCCTGTGCTGTAGAAATACAGGGAAACAGCAGTGATTGGCCATGTGGAGGCCTGCGAAGCAATATAGGTAGTAGGGACCAATACATAGCCTAGACTACAGTAGGTAACAAAAATGCTGTCCGAGTAGTCCTCGATGTCGGCCGCAATGTTAGGCCCCACCGCGTAATGCGGTCTCCTCAATAGATTGCCAGTAACCACAGATTGCCGTGGCCGATCCGGGTGTGTTTTTTGGTTTTCCTCCCCATCAGTGTTGGGATGCTTCTAGGCTTCCTGCAGTATATTCAGTTGCTGTTTTGGGCAGAATTTAGGCTGTTTGGGGCTTTGATTGTCGGAGAACCGCGAGTGTGCGACTGATCAGGCAGAGAGCTGGCTCTGCCCCCCCTCCCCCTTGTTTTTAAGGAGGTATTCTGCTATTGCATATAATTAAAGGTTTCTTTGGGGGGGAATATTATATTCCTCCATAATTTGAGTGAAGGACTTGATTTTATGTTCCAATAGTATGTTTTTGAATTCCCTTACCCTCCCTGGTTATCCAAGTATCTATTTTAATATTATCCTGTTAATGCTTTGAGTATCTGTGATTTAGTTTGTGCCTCTTTAATAAAGGTTTTATTCTTATCTAAGACCCAGAATAGTGAGGATAGGTTTCCTACCACTGTTTATCTTTTTCCATTTTGTACCATGTTTCTTGAGTTGCCGCCTTGTTTTGTGAAAGCAGTATATGAAATAACCTGCTGGCCAGGTAGCATTTTAAAATTTCTGGGCACCGCAATCCTCCATCCTGCCTAGACCTAGCCAAAACCCTAGTTTTAACCCATGCTTTCTTGCCTCCCCATATGAACTTAAAAAAAGATGAGAGTAATAATTATAGCCAATTTTCTGGAAAATTTAGAGGCATCATTCTCCATAAATACAGCCATTTTGGTAAAATGTATGCTTTTTGTCAATCTTTCTTTTATTGAGGCAAGCATTAAACAGGGTACAGAATAAAGAAGAAGGGATGTACAGTATTTGTACAGGATGGGAACATGCTAACACATTTTAACGTCTCGTATCAGTGAGTGCCTCATTTTTTATTAATTGAGCGTGCCAGAAAGTTAATAACAGGTATGGCGCAATAGAAGTGAAAGTCGCTAGTCAAAAGCTATGTATATTGCCTTTAAACGTAAGTAACTCGTAGGCTAGTCAGTCAGTTTATCAGGCAGTTGCACATTATTCTAGCTAAGCATGACCATTATTGCAAATAGCAAATGATTGGCACAGGCATGTATAGATCACTTAACATTATAAGTTGTAGGCTATGTAGTCATGCTGAGTAAGCCACCTAGCTCCCACCACACCATGAATGCCTCTGGTTATGCCAGTGGAGGACAAACGAGCGTGCAGCTGAGCTGTGCATGTTATACAAGGTGCTGGCCGTGTGGAGTATTGGGTGGAAAGCAGCAATATAGATTAGTATGCAGAGTTAGAAATAAGAGAGGGTATGGTAATCAAATCAGTTAACTGGACGCAAACATTTAAGTAGTGTGTCCATGGTATGTGGGTGTGAAGCTGTGATTGCCTTCTGAGATGTTCTCAGGACCCAAGTGTAGTCATAGGGTGTAGTCGGTAACTGTGGTACCAGTGTCCGGTCGCTTTGGCAGCTTCCATGTTAGGCAGTGTGGTGGTGAGCCTCTTGGGGTCTGCTTGTTCAGCTGGGCAGCGCAGGCGGGTTGAGGCTTCGTCCCAGGGCCGGGCCTTGTAGCCGGTCGGAATCTTCTTCCCACAGACTCGGGAGCTCGGTGAGACCGTGTTTTCCCTTCTTCTGGAGTTACAGAGGGCCGCGCTGTTATATTGCGGCGTGCGGTCCGAGTACCATGTGGGCGATGCATTGGAGGGAGTCTCCGCGTGACCGCTGGCCCACGTGGGCCGCCAGCCTCAGTAGTAGTTGCCTGGGTGAGTGGAGTGCGCCGGACAGCTCGCCCCCCTGTTTCCCTCACCTTCAGCGTGTAAGTAGCTGGCGGCAGTGGTTGTGCCAGACGCTTATGTAATGCCCTCCAGAAGCGCTGAAATATCTTGTCTAGCCGTAGTAGTGCAGCTTCCACATGGTCGCCTCTCAGCGGTTTTAGCGTTGGCTCGGACTGCCTGGTCACCTCCTCAATTGTGCTAGGCCTAGTACGTTTCGGGCCAGCATCCTGGTGGGCGGCTTGATGTAGGGTAGCCAGTTGCTTGGGGCTGGTGGCGACCGGGATAACCCTCGCCGGTCCATAGGGGGGGGAACGGGAACTCGCTTCGGTGTGTGCACTAGGTTTCAGCGGTCCGGGAGCGGCCGTCTCCCATACGCCATCCATGCTGGTAGGCCGCAGGAGCCGAGGTGGCGAGGCCAGTGAGTATCCCCGCGTATGTGGTATCTTCGTGGATGTCTCTCGGCCCTCAGGCGATTGGGCAACACAGTGAGCCGGTTCTGCGGGTTTATCAGTATCGATTAACGAGGAAAAGAACTTGTTTTGCTGGAGCCAAAGCCAGGCATGTCTGCTTGGCTCTGCAGTCAGGCCCCGCCCCCCAAAATGCATGCTTTTAAGATGTTGATCCTGCCCGACCAGGAAAAACCCAAACCTTTCCAATCCCTTAAGTTATTATTTGTTTGTTTTAGTAGAGGTAAAAAGTTGGCTTCTATTAGATCTTTCAGATCTGACGTTAGGGTTATATCTAAATACTTTACAAAAAGCTATGTTACGCAGACAGCCACTAGAGGTTGGATTAACCATGCTATGTAAACATAACAGTTTCTATGAAACTGCTATATTTACATCTAAAGGGTTAAAACCTGGGGGACCTGGCACCCAGACCACTTCATTGAGCTGAAGTGGTCTGGGTGACTATAGTGTCCCTTTAAATATACATAGGTATTTATGAGAGAGTGCAAGTAACTTTTTCTTTGGTTTTTATTATATCTAAATACTTTAGCCTATCTTTATTTTCAGGAAGCCCAATATTTTTTACGAAAAAGTCAGTTAACTTTTTGTTCATATTTTTAGCAATAAATGTTGATTTCTCCAGGTTCATATTTACTTATCTTCTTTAGAAGCTCTGGGACCGAAATTTTTGGTTCTTCTAATAATAGGATATCGTCTGCGTAGATATTTAATTCTATTTGTCCTACTGCATTCGTAAAACTTTAGATTT